ATAATTCGTTTGTAAATTTATAAATTCAAACTCGAGATAATAACATTCAAAAATCTGAAGCGGGAACTAAATGGCGGCGGTCTCTGTCAATTCCGACATTTCGCAATAGCGGTTAACAGAGGCAGCCGAGCGTTTGCTTGAACGAAAGTAACATAAGGAGCAATGAAATGTGTAGGGATACTTGGATTGTCACGTCGTAGGTTCGTTGCAATTCTGTGTCAAACTACATTCATAATCCAAGGTGTCCTTACAAGTTTTCTTTAATTGGTTTTGGTTGTTTCTCAAAGTAGAAAAAAGAAAAGAATTAATGTGCAAATTAAGTACGCATTGATGATATTATCTAAATCAAAAGTATTTAATCAAAATAGAAAAGGCATGATTCCATGATGTTTTATCAAAGATCATAGTCAAAGTCATATCTCATCTTATCGAAAATTCGGACGGAAGACCTACTCGTTGCTCGCAACGAGATCGCATCTAGTTATTATTATTATTCTTTTTTCTTCTTATTTCTTCTCCGGTACTTTTTTGTCCAGAAGTGTTCTCAGAAACTGTTCACCAAACTAAGTTAAAACCTTTTTAGGGTTAATGGGTGTGTAGTGTAGGTGTGCGGAACGAAGGTCATTTTGCGCACATACGCCTGCACGTGCGGGCGCGTGAAGTGAGTGAAATGACCGATATACTTATTTTGGCCATAACTTTTACATTTTTTGATGAAATGCTTTGAAACTCATTATATAAAGATATATTAATAGTGTTAATATCATGACACTGTCAAATTAGCACGAACTCACGCGCGTGCACGTGAGCTTCGCTCTGATTGGCTGAAACAAAAATCTCAATATCTCTTTTGTTTTTTGACAAAATGCTTTGAAATTTGAAACATAGTCATACATTAGGATATCTCCTGCAATATGATATACAAAAAAATTTCATGAAATCACGTGCATGCACGTGTGCTGCAATCTGATTGGCTGAAACTTTAAAGGCTATATCTCCTTTGTTTTTTGATGAAATGCTTTGAAATTTAAAACATAGCCATACTTTAGAATACCCTGCAATATGATATACAGAAAAAAATAAAGAAATCACGTGCATGCACGTGTGCTGCATTCTGATTGGCTGAAACTTTAAATGGCTACATCCCCTCTGTTTTTTGACGAAATGCTTTGAAATTTAAAACATAGTTTTACATTAAGATATCCTGCAATATGCTTTACAATAAAATTCTTGAAATCAAGAGCATGCACGTTTGCTGCAATCTGATTGGCTGAAACTTGAAATGGCTATAACTCTCTTGTTTTTCAACCAAACAGGATGGGATTCAGAACATAGATAAATATAAGGAACTTTTACAAGAAGGTATGGTCATCATGCACGTGCACGCACGTACGTGCATTTTGAACGAGTGAAATTAAAAATACATTTAAATGAGTGATTTTTAATACTTTTGGACTGAAAGCTTTGATATATAGTATATTTATATATATAAATACTGAAGACAAGATGATATGGTCATAACGCACATGCATTCACATGCGCACGGGTGCAATGCTAAAATTTGAATTTAATTGGTATCCTTCTGGGTTAATTTTGTTCAAGTCTAAATTACCAGAATTTGTCTTATTTAATGAAACTTACAGAGAATATGGCACCAAAAGGGAGTTGGGGAGCGTTTGGGGAACATCTGTAACGGTTCCCGTTACAATTAGCACTAGTTTTCTGATAAGATAATCATTCAAGCTACAACAAACAATTGTTATATTTTAATCAACAACCGACAAAGGTTCGTAAGACTGGCAGAAAATAAAATTTATTTGAAATATTATATTACTTAAAACGCGGTACATTATTTAAAGCAAATTGAGACTATAAATTGAGAATGCGTGTTATGCCTTTCCAAAAGGCGTAATTACGCCTTTCCAAATGAGTTATAACGCTTTTTGAATAACCATTATTTTGCATTTAACTGGTCCGTGATTTTAACCCCCCCCCCGCCCACACACACACACACTCTACTGGCCAAACTCGTGAGCCTCAGTAAAACTTTGTTTAAATGCAATAATTTGTCACAGTTTTAAACACCGCAACAAAATGTTCAGGAACCAAGCACCCAATAGTTTAAAGTTATAATATCTAAACTGTTACACTGAAGACTTTCCCCAAAAAGTGTGTATGTGTGAAGGGGGGGGGGGTACCCAATTCGCACCCGTACTACTGGCCAACTTGAAAAGGAAAATGGAAAAGCGTTATTTTATATTAATAGATATATGAAAGATTTAATGAAAACCATCTTTATTAAAGCAATTCTCTTTATTCCTGCACATCACACTGACAACTTTTTGCGTTCGTATTAAGAGAAGGCAACACTCTACTTGTGAAGATACGATGTAGACAGATGTAGCTTGGAGCTTTTCTTGCCATGGGTTAAAATTCCTGTCATTTGAATATATTTTTCTCTTTTCTTGGATAAAAGCAGGCAAACTATTTGCATTGGTATAATAAGTAATTAAAATCAATGATCCTTGGTAGAATGTGTCTGGTATTAAAGAAGGACTTAGATAGTTCAACATTGAAAATATATGACGCATTTAAAAATCTTTTTTCCTGGAAATCCAATTGTTATCTGTTTAAATTATTTTTTGAGAAAATTAGTCCTATATCAAATTGCACAATTGATGTCCCAAATGTAAAATATCTGCATCCCCACTCCTCGGTTGGGCTCCTTTTATAAAGGCGTAATAACGTCTTTTATAAAGGTGTAATAACGTCTTCTTTGAAGGCGTAATAACGCTTCTCTCTATCCACTTGGCAATAAATAAAGGAGAGGGGGGTCCAACCCTCAGAACCCCCCCCCCCCCCTGGATCCGCCAATGTAGTCAGGTGCTCTACCCAAATTAATAAATTTAAAACATGTGTATTATAATTAGACAAAAGACTTCATTGTATCAAAAATTATAGAAGCTCTAAGCATTTCTTATTAAGAGCAATTTATTTTATGTAATAGCATAAAGTTATAGATCAGTTTAACCATTCGTGTTATTAAAAGAAAATACCTGTTCTGAAGGTTAATTTCGTCGGAATTTTCGCATATTCTTCATTGCATGAAATCACCCGTCGTTAAAACTTAAAAAAAAACTGATTTGAAAATACCAGGTACAGTTGTATAGTTCATATTATAATAAACGTCTACAAAATTAAGGGAAAAAATAATTCAAAGACTTTTCGTACAGACAAAATTATGATGGATACAAAGCAGGAGATAAAAAGATAGACAGGGTAACTATAAAGTTTATTTGCATGGGTTTAATGGCCATACATGTATTACTATTGTTAATAACATCCCCTAATTTTAATCTATTTTAATTTAAACGTACTCTAGCTCCACACAGATTGAGATAGATATGTATGGCACGCCAAATTCACAAAAATAAGATAAACCTAGTTTCACAATTGATAAACTAGGTTTATCGACTGTAAACCATAGTTTACAAACCGTAAACTATAGTTAACGATTCGTTAAGTATAGTTAACGATTCGTTAAGTATAGTTTTCATCTGTAAAACTATATTTAACGGTTGTTAACTATAGTTTACGAATGATAATCTAAGTTTATCTGTCTGTAATAAGCGTTAACAATAGATTTTGTTGATAAACATAGATTCACGGTTGTAAACTGTAGTTTAAAATCGTAAACTATGGTTAAGAGTTGTAAATCATATTTTCACAAATCGTGAAACTATATTTATCAGATCGTTAACTATAGTTAACGGTTTGTAAACTATAGTTTACAAATCGTGAAACTGTATTTATCAGATAATCTATGTTTTGCAATCGCAAATGATACTTTTCGGTGTTAAGTATAGTTTACGGTTGTGAAACATAGATTATCGCGTTAACTATAGTTTACAGATGTGAAATATAGATTAACGTTGTTAACTATAGTTTACAGTCCGTAAACTATAGTTTACAACCGATAAACCTAGTTTATCGATTGTGAAACTATGATTATCTCATTTTTGTGAATTTGGCGTGCCATAGATATGTCAGGTATTTAAATCACATGATCTGGTATCCAGGTAAATATTTAGAATGAAGACAAGGAAGTAAATTGTTGTGTACGGGATTAAAAGGAAGGCCATGTTGGATTTAGAGGTGAGACAAGATTATATTTTGTAAATTTAATATGCTGCAAAACATTCCCAGATATCATTATTGATCTCAAGTCTACTACACGTATAATACAATAGATAAATTGCATGAGCAGGCCACTTTAGATCATATTCATTAACTACATGAACTGTTTTGACTGTTAGATTTTTTCCTGATTTTTTTTCAAACATAAGAAAAGTTTACATGCCATTTTAAAACTACAAATAGATCCTTCCTATTATTTCTAAACTACGGAAGCCCATTGGTGCCACGTATGAAAAATATTTTATCTGGCGGCCGCCACTTATTATTTGGCGGCCGCCAATTAAATATCTGGCGGCCGCCACTTAATATATGGCGGCCGCCAAATAATTTATATGGCGGTCGCCAAATATTTTTCTGTCGGCCGCTACATAATATCTGGCGGCCACCATATATTTATCTGGCGGCCGCTACATAATAACTGGCGGCCGCCAAATATTTATCTGGCGGCCGCTATATAACTTCTGGCGGCCGCCAAATATTTATCTGTCGCAGAAGTTATATAGCGGCCGCCAGATAAATATTTGGCGACCGCCAGTTATTATGTAGCGGCCGCCAGATAAATATATGGCGGCCGCCACATAAATTTTGTGGCGGCCGCCAGATATTTAATTGGCGGCCGCCAGATATATATGTGGCGGCCGCCAATTAATAAGTGGCGGCTTCCAGATAAAATATTTTTCATACGTGGCACCAATGGGCTTCCGTACTAAACTGACACTGTCTTACAATATCTCAAACAAAACAGGCACGTAGCATCGTTTTTGAAGTAGGGGGGGGGGGGCAACCTGAGAAAAATTTTTTTAATTACCTAAAAAAAAAGTTGACGAGCAAAAAAAAAAAAAAAGAAAATCGAAAATTGACCAAACTCGAAAATCCTATTTCGTAGGGGGGGTTAATAGTGGCCAACTTTTTCAAGGCAAACTTCCAATTTTTCCGATATTTCCTTGCTATGTATATATGTAAGACTCCAAGGTCCGATGGTGACGCCAAAGTCCGATGGTCTCGCCAAACCCCGATGGTCTGCGCCAAACCCCGATGGCACGCGGTCTTTACGGACGCCATAGTCCGATGGTCACGCCAAAGTCCGATGCTTGGTTTCCTATGAGACGCGCGACGCTAAAGTGCGATGGTCTGACACGCCAAAGTCCGATGGTGCGGCTGAACAATAAACCTTTATGACGTCACAATAATCTGACGTCAATCATTGACACTGTTTTCCTGCATTCAAAAGCCATCATTTCTGAATTTGTACTTGAGTACAATTTCATTGATTTTGCTTATTGCTTGCACCTCCCAGAGATATTAGTGTTAGTCCTTGCACACCACTCAATTGATTAGGGTTAGTCCTTGCATTGCACAACCTGAGAGATTTAGGGTTAGTCCTCACTAGTCGAGTGATTAGGGTTAGTCTTGCACCCATCCAAGATATCTAGGTTATTGTTAATACACACTTTTCGAGCGTTAGTCTGGCGAAACTATCTGAGAGATACATGTAAGGTTTTTTTTTGCAATTATTTATTTATACTTGTTTTTAAGACCTTGGCATGGTGTGTCATTGAGTTTTGGTGCAGAGGTACTATGACGTCATAAACGTTAATTGATTTTCGCACCATCGGACTTTGGCGTGTCACACCATCGGGGTTTGGTGCAGACCATCGGGGTTTGGCGTGACCATCGGACTTTGGAGTCCCATCGCACTTTGGAGTCCTACATATATACTGTGGTAAAAAGTGGGGGGGGTCCATCTTTTCAATAGACATTTTCTATAGTAAAAGTTACGTTGGGGAAAAAGGGGAGAGGCAGGCCAGCAAAACATAACTCTTCTATTTTATTTAAATTGCGTAACATTTCTATAGTCAGTGACCCATGCCTCCATTTACTTTATACAGGGTCATCTGATGTTTTGACCAAACCCCAGTGATGGACCCCCTGGACAGAGCTCAAGTTCTCCTCCTCTGTGACGTGTGTCAAAGAGCTGCATTACAGAGTCATTGTGAACTTTGTCAGATTAATCTGTGTAAGGCTTGTGTAGGGAAGCATCTCTTGGATTCATCTAAAAGACACAAAGTTGTACCATACAAACACAGAAAATCTGCTCCCAACATTAACTACCCAAAATGTCCAAACCACACCCAGAAACATTGTGAGCTTTACTGTGAGAAATGTGACTTTCCTGTCTGTTCTACCTGCATCTCCTCTGGGAAACATAAAGGACATGATTTATCTGATGTCTTAAATAATTCCAGCTTCATTCAAGAAATTTTAAACAACGATTTGAAAGAATTGAGAAAAATAATACTTCCTACATATGAAAAAATTACATCAGATTTAAACTCTGAAAAAATCAATTTGGAAAAAAATTATGGAAAACTGACGACGGCAGTCACCAAACAAGGAGAAGACTGGCACAGAGAAATTCACATCATTGTCAACAAACAGAAATCTATAATTGACGAGATGAAATCTAAACACCTGGCTGCTCTTAATAAACAGGAAAATGAAATCAAACAGACCACTTCTGATGTTAAACAGTGCATCTTTGATCTAAAGAAAATACTGGACTCCAATGATGTCTCCCTTAGCTCTGCATACAAATCCAGGAATGCTGAATTCAGAAGTTTACCTCCTAAAGTCAATGTTTCATTACCAAGTTTCTCTCCTCATCAGATCAACACAGAACAGCTCCATCAAATGTTTGGTTCTCTGTCAGCATTATCCATTACAACAGAAGAACATGGCTATACAATGAAGACATCAGAAGCTGTATCCTGTCCTCCAGTCAAACCACTGCTTGATGAACCAGAGCTCATCACCACCATAGACACTGGGTATGTACATATATACAGTGTTAGCTGTCTCAGTGATGAAAAAATCTGGACACGTGGAGATGACAAAATCATGAAACTCTACAACCTCCAGGGTAAACTACTGAAGTCAATTCGAACCAAATCTGGGTACACACCACTTGATATAGCAGTGACAAGGAGTGGAGATCTAGTTTATACTGACCCTAGTACAAGAACTGTGAACATGGTGAAGAATGACCAGATACAAGAAGTAATCAGACTACAGGGGTGGAGACCTTACAGTGTCTGTAGTACCTCCTCTGGTGACCTCCTGGTTATCATGGACAGTGATGATAGACAATCAAAAGTTGTCCGCTACTCTGGCTCAACAGAGAAACAAACCATTCAGTTTGATAGTGAAGGTAAACCTCTGTATTCATCTGGTTTCTTTACTAAATACATTAGTGAGAACAAGAACCTGGATATCTGTATGGCTGACAATGAAGCGTGTGCAGTAGTGGTGGTTAATCAGGCAGGAAAACTACGATTTAAATACACTCGTCATCCCTCTGCTACCAAGAGATCATTTAATCCATACGGCATCACAACAGACAGCCAGAGTCAGATCCTGACAGCAGACATTAACAACCACTGTATACACATCCTAGATCAGGACGGACACTTCCTCTGTTACGTTGATAACTGTGATCTACTGGGTCCAGTGGAATTATGTGTAGACACCAGAGACAACCTCTTTGTGACCGAGTATAACAGTGGTAAAGTGAAGAAAATCAAATACATGTAATCAATGTGTTTTAAATGACATGTTTGTGCCAAATTTTTTCTAGTAGCCAAAATAACAAGATATAGATCGATTAATTCACTTTCTAGTGTTTATGTGTGTGTGTGAAAATATTTTTAATATTATCAATAAGGTTTAATATATAAATAAAAAATTAAATTATTAATAACAATCATTTCAGCGCATTCTACCCAAGATTGAAATGACTTCTCATTAATAACATTACATTGGAAGAAAAGTTCAATATTTCAAATGACCAAATGAATACCCTGTATATTTGCAAGCATGAAGAAAGAAGTAATATGATGTAATTATTTTTATTTCAAATTGATCCTGTTTCCTGCACTGCACACTGAAGGGTTGTGATTATACTGTGCTTTTGATGTAGTTAGAATAAAATGCCCTTAGATCTAAAATAAATGCACATACTTTTTAATCCAAGTTATTAAATTGTAATTTATTTAAGAATCTTAATTGACCAAGATAAATTAACCAATTTATTTCCATGTTTCTTCATGGATTCATTAAGACTCATATAGGGCCCAAGATATTAAGGTTTGCGTGTATAAGTAACCCAAAACAAAGATGAGAAATCTGATTCAGGAAACGTTTTATTCTGGAATTATGTTTTCATTTTAATTCACATACATCTTTAATACATGCATGGTCAAAAATGATTCCAACAGATATTAATGCATCAAGTTCTATGGGATATCAGCTCAGTAAGTCCATTGTCAGTAGAACGTACTAAATATTAAAAGGTCATATCAAATTTTATAAACAACATTGATTATATCAGTATATGTAGCCACACATCTGTTTATATAACTTATCAGCTTGATCCCCGTGTTGAGCCTCAATAGTCTTCTTACTCTCCTTATGAGGGCCTCCACAAAACTGGTGTGGGTCCCTGATCTACGACATTCCTAAACAAACAAGCAAATAATGGATTAATGGTTTATATAAATCCAAAGACATTTTTCATAGGTGATGAGTTAATGAAGCATCCACAATGCTCGTTTTACTTTTTCAAACATCAGTGCATTAGCCAATCAAAATGTGTTTTACAAATTTGAAATTTAATTCCTATATTCCTCTGTAAAACTTTGATCGACTATTTGATCGTCTTTTGAACATTAGGGCTCATGATTTGAACAAACTTGAATTTACACCACCTAACTACATGTAGCTGAGAATGCTTTAATTTCATATAAATATGACCAATCACCGCTTTGCTGTTCTTAAAAAGGATTTTTAAAGATTTTCCTAAAAAAATCATGGTAAAACTTTGATTGTCCATTCATGATTGTCGCCCCACTCTGCCCCCCCCCCAGGGTTTTATGATTTGAAGAAACTTGAATCTATACTAACTGTTAATAAATGATTCCAATCATATGATTTCAAATCTTTCCTGGCCCAGTGGTTCGGTCTTGAGAACGATTTCTTTTAACTGATGCCAATGATTTTTCACTAATTCGTAAATATCTCCCCTTGAAAGAGGGTGCGGCCCTTCATTTGAGCAAACTTGAATCTTCTTTACCTAAGGATGCTTATAATGGCAAGTTTGGTTGAATTTACCAGTGGTTTTTGAGAAGAAAATGAAAATGAGGATACATACATGTACATACTTTGAACATTTTTAAACTAAACTTTAGAAAAACAATACTACCATATCTATAAAAATGACATAATGAACAAAATTTGCTTCCACAAATACATAAACATAATATTATTTACAACTGTACCTCTGAAGTTAGCGTGAGTCAGTTAACCGCTGTAGTTAGAGCTTGTTCACGTAGAGCAGAGAGACTTCAACTCCTGGGCTGCCTGTCTCGTAGAATTCCGTGGAAAACTTCTCCGTGAGATAAGATAAACTGCATCACCTATAACAGCATGGAATGGTGAACAATACTGTAAAATGTTTGTGGAGGTCTGATATTTCTGGATTTCGTGGGTCAACTTTACCCATATAATTATGTTCCCAATTTTTTAAAAAGTAAGTATATGTATCAGTTATTAGATTCTAATTAATCTTTGAGTAACCTATGAAATTATGTCTACCAGAACATATCAAATGCCTGTAAATGTGAACATTAATACCCAAAAGTCAAATGATAAATTCTAGTCTTAAAGTCATATAGGCTATATGAACGCAGAATTTCGTGTGAAACAAAATGATTCATGATTTAAAACACATGAAGTGTAATGAAAAATAATACTTTCCACAAAACTGTATTATAGATTTCGTTGTAAAAACAAAACAATTAAACAATATCCAGGAATTAAGAACTCAGTCTTTTCGTGAATATTGATGAAGGAAGTGCGTAAACAGTAGGTCTAAATATAGAAACACATGTCCTCGGGAAATCACAGACAACGAGGTATGTTGCATTTTGACAATAAGTATTAATATAAGGTTAATATGCATCATTACAGAGAAGATGTTTGATACTGAAAATACATTAAAAGATAAGTACCATTAAGTAGGACGCTTGCCATCCACGTCAAAAGTGAGTAGTATCTCAAACGGCCTACCTTGTTTTCTTAACGCCACGTGTGTTTATCAGTCTAAAAGTAGCAACGGCGTCACGTGATTGATTTATATATAAATAGCTATTTTTCTTTCCTTGCAGGATAATAAAAAATTATAATTTGATAACTTTGTAACGCATTTTATTTTAATGGTGTAATTTACAGTATTTTCCTAACTTTTAATGATAAAAAAATTATATCAATTTCTAATCGTATTTTAACTGGCGCAAGTTATAGCGTGTATACTTTTAATATAAAAATTCTCTATGCAGATATCTAAATACTGTTATTGGTCCAAGGGGCCCTGCATTAAACAAGACCATTCCTATAGCTGTACATACTATTCACCTGATTGCCACAGTCCTGGTTTTCTATGCCCAGTGAGGTCAGCATGGCCAGACAGAATTTAAGGGTGGCAAAAAGAAGTTGACGATAGCGGGCCATGGGGCTGGACAGGAAGTCCTCCTCTGTATCAACACCGGCTTAATCTTTAAAGAACGTACAATATCAACATGTAGTGTAGATGAATTCGTAGGCAATGATTACTTCAAAATGCATTTTCTTAATTCATTAAACATTTAAATCTCTAAACTGTTTAACTCTATACAACTACTTCATATACATATTTACAGTGGCAAGTTTTGATTAATGTAAAGTAATTGCAAAATAATGATTAGAGACATTTTAATTTTAATCATAGGGTATATGTAAACCCCCTATCTGCTGACCGTTCAGCACAGTTAAGGTTACAGAAAGGAGGTGGGGCCTAATTTGTACGGGAAATGTTTACTTATAATGACGTCACGCATAATACCGGTATAAGGTCTTCAAAATACAACAAAATGAACTTACCAGTAATTATTTGTTATTTCAAACATCTGGATAGCTGTTAACTTATTTACATACAAACTTACTATTACATGCAGTTTTGTCGTTTGTGAAATCCCACTACGATACATCGATCGCTATGCAATTGTCAATGTAACGTCATCTCACAAAAATGATGCACAATTTGTACACAGTGAGAGGATGATCAAGTCACATTTGTTACAATGAAAAATGTCTTTTCATCTCAAATAAAATATCATTTGAAGGGAAATAAAAGAACGTTAACTTGGATACAATTTCTATTTTGGTATTTTATTTATACTGTCTCTACATTCTCCAGAAAAGTGATACTGTTGTGTGTTTGTATGCTGAGGTTCATTGAAAATGTAATAAAAGAGCCCTAATAAATCAATTTATTGCAAGGGCATTATACACTCAATGTGTCTTGTCAAGTAATTTCACACATAAACTCAAGAAGCACTAAAATATTTGAAAAGTGCTGCGAACCTCATGAAATCTTTCAAATAAATTAATTAAAGCTATATTTAATGCAGTTGACCAGCAAAATATTCAATCTGCCATCCAACAAATTGAATTTTAGCAATTAAAAAAGGGAATCTATATAGGTTCACAGCCTTTTCACAAACTACATATAGGTGTTGAAAAGGATTATAAATTTAACTAAGATTATTAACTTGGTTATGCCCTTGCAATATCAGAATTTATAAATGACCTCTAAATATATATAAACCTTTGTCAAGCTAGTTTAAGTTTTGTATTTCATATAGCACTTGAAGAGCATGACTCAGTATTCTAAATATATGGAACGCCATAGCTGCCTTATGTGGCTATTTTATTTTATATTTCATATGAAGATGGTGCTCTTTTATATTATGCTGTGGTTATTTTATATGAAGATGGTGCTCTTTTATATTATGCTGTGCTTATTTCATATGAAGGTTGTGCACTTTTATATTATGCTGTGCTTATTTTATATGAAGGTTGTGGTCTATTATATTATGTTGTGGTTATTTTATATGAAGATGGTGCTCTTTTATATTATGCTGTGCTTATTTTATATGAAAATAGATTTTTGAAAAATACAAAATTAAGTAAAAAAATATAGTTTATACATATAAATTAAAGCTTTTCATACAATTCTGATTTCGGAGAACACCTCATTTTATCTAATAATACGATTTTACCTTCTCTGTAATGTGTTATTTAAATCTTTTGAATTTTCTTCCGAGTCGGAGAAAACTCAGAGAATCCAAATTAAATTGTGATACCCGGTATCTTTATAACGCAATTGACTTAAATTTTGTAATTTACGGAAAAGTTTTATCTTTATATAAAGTAATGGCACAAATAATAAGTTCTTATAATTTAAGTCTAATAATTTTCATTGTACATACGCCTTATATGGCCTTAAAAAGATAATCCTAAACGTTTGCAATACATAAAAAAAATATTTTTTTGGTTTATAAAACATAGAGCAAAGACTCACTTTACCTTAATACACTTTTATGAAAAAACAATCGCATCTTTCAGAGAAATACTTGAAGTCCATTAAAACTAGGGTCTTATCACAAATTGCTTGAAATGCCACAAAATTCATTTTGTGCCATGAAACTTAGTGTTTAGCACGTTTGTATCAAAGTAACATGATACTTTGGAATTTTTATTGCTTAAGTCCCAATCCACGAAAACCATCTGATATATTTATAAAAGAAAAAAATCAGAGAAAGGACTTGTGATGATGTTAAGATTGTCGTTATCTGTTGGACTCTTTGTGTTGAGATTGTCGTTATCTGCTGGACTCTTTGTGTTGAGATTTTCATTATCTGCTGTAGTCTTTGTGTTGAGATTGTTGTTATCTGCTGGACTCTTTAATTTGTGTTGAGGTTGTCGTTATCTGCTAGACTATTTGTGTTGAGATTGTCGTTATCTGCTGGACTCTTTGTGTTGAGATTATCGTTATCTGCTGGACTTTGTTTTGAGACTGTCGTTATCTGCTGGACTCTTTGTTTTGAGATTACAAGTCGTTATTTGCTGGACTCTTTGTTTTGAGATTGTCATTATCGGCTGGACTTTTTGTGTTGAGATTGTCGTTAGCTCTTGGACCATGAAAGAAGAAAATACGGTTGTTACCACTATCGGCCTAGTAAATTCGTCAAAAATAAACAATGATACCTTTAGAAATAAAGTGTTGATATATTTTGTACACGATCAGGTCTATCTGATCACGGATGTAAAATGGCGCCAAAACGTCACACAAACGCTACGTAAACCTCAAAACCAAACCATGTTTCAATATATTCTCTAAAAATGGCAGTTTTTATATCTATGATCGCAAAATTCA